CTTGGCCTGCTGTGTTCATCCAGCTCTACACCTTGTTATCTGACATCATGAAGATATTGTTGCGAACTCAATATTAAAATACTCTTCTGACCTCGAGAAAAACATTAGATCTTCACTGAAATTAGAACAAAAATTAATTTTCTCCCACTTTAGAACCTAGATTGTTAGACTACAATCTGATATTAAAGTACTTTATCATAACCAACACACATTGAATGTTGCAGTGAAATATCACAGTTAGATTTCACAGCAAAATAAAACAGAGCAATATTGCATTGACATATAACAGTGAAATATCACAGTGAATATCTCCATGAAGTATCACAGTCAAATATCCCATTGAATTGTTCTGCCAAACTCACAGTTCAGACATCCTCTTGTGTGAGTGTAGGAATTCCTACATGAACGATGTGAAACAGAAATACTTTAAATAATTCCTGTAGACCCTCCCTCTTACTCTCATGGCCTGGTTTTTCACACACAATGATTTGCCATTCCTTTTTTGTTACATTTTCACCTTGTCCAGCACACTGTCCCGGTCTGTCCTTGTCGCTCTCTGTCCACCCCTCTCTATCACTTTCTTTGTGTCTCTCGTATTCTCTATCCCTTCTCCTTGTGGTACCTGATGACTATCAAAACATGTGAGGGTAATTGAGAAGACTTTTTGTACCGAAATGTTTGTGGGGGTTAGAGGTAGACATGCTCATTACATTTGAAAAGGACTTTGATGTGCACCCCTGAAGGAACACAAACAACAGAGATCCAGGCCCAAGTTGGATTAAGCGGTATGGCATTTATTGACTAGTACAGACATTATGGGCCAAAGGATGTCCTTCTGCACTGCACATCTTTGAAGCAGTCAGTGAGCTCAGAGACTTTTCAAATGATCCAGAAACTAGGAGCAGCCTTTAACACACTCCAAGTTGGAATGAAGCAGGATCACTCACAGGGGGTTGGAGAGAGCGCAGGAGTTATGGAACAATGACAACTTCGCTCAGCTGTTGCGAGACTCAATCCTGGGCAAAACACAGCAGCTGGGCAACGCCACTGGAGCAGAGCGGACAGCCTTGTTAATTACACCATTCCTCATATCCAACACACTGCTGGCAACATCACCAGCATCTTATTGTTCTTCAAAGTACATTCATTCTCAGCCTGATTTTGATCTTCAAACTGGACCCACCCACTGGCTCATTGTAAATTTACTACCTGACTCCAACAGGCCCCCAAGAGCACCAACTCACACCCAAGATATCCTGCCCCACTTAGTGTTCCTACATTTTCAGTGTGAAACTGAGGGTGTGTGTGTGTGGGGGGGGGGGGGGGGAGGGGGGGGGGGGGAGGGGAGCCTGTACCGCAGTGAGCGTGTGTGTGTGGGAGCCATACAAGAACAAAGAACAATACAGCACAGGAACAGGCCCTTCAGCCCTCCAAGCCTATGTTGACACATTTTGCCGTTCCATACTAGAAGTGTCTTCACTTACAGGATCTGTATCCCTCTATTCCCTTCCTATTCATGCGTTCGTCCAGGTGTTTATTGAATGCTTCCACTGTGTCAGCTTTCACCACCTCCTCTGGCAGTGTATTCCAGGCACTCACCATTCTTTGTGTGAAAAACCTGCCTCGCACATCTCTTTTTAACTTCCCCCCTCATTCCTTGAACCTGTGTCCCAGAGTATTTGACCCCTCAACCCTGTGAAAAAGCCTCATATTTTCCACTCTATCCATGCCATTCACAATCTTACAAACTTCTATCAGGTTGCCCCTCAAATCCTGCGTTCCAGTGAAAACAAACCCATTCTATCCAACCTTTCTTCATAGCTAAAATTCCCCATGCCAGGCAACAGCCTGGTAAACTTTTTCTGACCCTCTCCAAAGCATGCACATCCTTCTAGTGGTGTGGTGAGCAGAACTGTATGCAATATTCCAAGTGTGGCCTAACTGAAGTTCTATAAAGGTGCAGCATAACTTGTCTATCCTTATGCTCAATGCGCCTTCCAATGAAGGCAAGCATGGAACACCACTAGTCACAACACTCCATTCGGAACAGCATCCTTCCACTGCTACCCTCTGTCTCCTATGACTGAGCCAGTTCTGTATCCATCTTGCCAGCTCATCCCTGATACCATGTGACTTCACCTTTTGTACAGGTCTGCCATGAGGGACCTTGTCAAAGGCTTGACTGAAGTTGATTTGCTTCTAAATGTGTATACATCTTGTCCCTGAGAATCTTATCTAATAATTTCCCTACCACTGATGTGAAACTCACAGGCCTGTAATTTCCAGCATGATCTCTGCCACCCTTCTTAAACAATGCGACAACATTGGCTATTCGCCACTCCTCTGGGACGTCACCGGTGGCTAAAGACGATAGAAAGATGTCTGTCAATGCTCCAGTGAGAGTCAGTGTGTGTGGGGGAGCCTGTACACCAGTGAGTGTCATTGTGTGTGGGACTGTAGCCCAGTGAGGGTCATTGTGTGTGGGACTATAGCCCAGTAAGGGTCAGTGTGTGTGGGAGTCGTACCCCAGTGAGAGTCAGTGTTTATGGGAGGCGCACCCCAGTGAGAGTCTGTGTGTGTGGGAGCCATACCCCAATGAGAGTCAGTGTGTGTGGGAGCCATACCCCAGGGAGAGTCAGTGTGTGTGGGACTGGACACCAGCGAGAGTCAGTGTGTGTGGGACTGTACCCCAGTGAGAGTCAGTGTGTGTGGGAGCCATACCCCAGTGAGAGTCAGTGTGTGTGGGAGCCGTACCCCAGTGAGAGTCAGTGTGTGTGGGCGCCATACCCCAGTGAGAGTCAGTGTGTGTGGGACAGTACCCCAGTGAGAGTCAGTGTGTGTGGGACAGTACCCCAGTGAGAGTCAGTGTGTGTGGGACTGTCCCCCAGTGAGAGTCAGTGTGTGTGGGAGCCGTACCCTGCTGAATGGGTTGTATCTTACCCACCAGGTTTGTGGTTTTCCACTAGGAGTGTGAAATGAATGAATCTTACCTTGACACCACGTGGTCCTGGGTAGCCAATGGGACCCTGTGGCCCAGTTGGACCCTGAAGAGACAAAAGACAGAAATGAGTTGGTGTTGTTTAGGTCATTTCCCTGGGACAGGGAGCAAACTGCCTGCTAGTGTCTACAGAACGTTACAATTATTGTCCTGCTACTCAATCCAAGAGGGCCAGTGACTGTCACTGCAGGAGCTCAGAGACACTCTGTGCTGTCACAGCTCCAGCTCATTGCTGTGCTCCACATGGTGGTTGGTTTTGGGGTTTGGGCCTGAGCCCGGCACTGGGGCAGGTAAAGGTGGTGAAGAAACCCCCCGTGAAGTGACTGTAAGGGCAAAAGTGGAGCTAATTGCTAGCAGGAGGTGCCAGAATCCAACAAAGACCAAAGGGTAGACAGGACAAGCTGGTGTATCTGGGGTGGACCAACATCAATGGGTCAGGGTACATGGGCTCGCCCATTGTACACAGGACAGACTGGTGTACATGGGGTGGATGAGGGTACATGGGATGGGTAAAATGAGATGCATCGCTATGCGCTGTAGAGAACAGGAACAGGTTAAAGGCAGAGAAAGACAAAGTGGAACTTACCGGGCTGCCCTTCTCTCCAGCTGGACCTTCCTTGCCAGGGTGACCCTGTCACAGAAACAGAAACACAGCATCAAACATCAGAGCTGCAGCACACTGCCACCTTCCCCCCACCTGTCCTGGCTAATCCTTTCCCATAGGACTGGCTGCTTCACCGGGACATCCCCATTGTAAAAGCTCAGATTCCCTGGATTTTGGGGAGTCAGAGGGACACTATCAGCTCCACAAGCCTGTCCCTCCATTTAATTAAATCTTGGCTGATCTATCTCAACTCTAATAGCTCACCAAAAAAATCCAGTCAGCTCAGTTTCAAAAATTCTGACTGGGGAGATAAGGAGGATTATTGGGAATACACATTTATATTTGAGGACCATGTGGAAAAATCGGAAGATATGGAACTATTTTGACATTTTCTGGATTGAAAAAGTGTTTACCAGATGTTTAGATTAAGGAATGAAGTCAGCAACTTAAGATGTGCTGTAAGACACCTGGTTACAGAAGAATCATGTGACTTTCAAGAAGGTAAGCCAAGCTTTCAAGGAGATAAGAAATGGGCCTTAATTTCTGGAAGACTGTTCCAAATAGACGAGAAGGTGTCAATGTTAATGGTCACCAAGCAACCCTCTCTGGACTTAGTTTTCTGTTTACAGAGCTAAGCCTGTCAATGAGGAAGACTCCCCCTCCAGAAATTGAAAGTCTTTCCCTCCTGAAATTCCGGGGAACGTGATAGTTTCCAAATATCAGTATTTCTGGCTATCTACTAAAATCTGCAAAGCTGGAGTGCAATCAATGTTTGAAGTCTCAGATCCAGGTTGAGTGCAATCAGAACTGATCATCCTCCATGAGTCTACAGCAGTCAGCCATTTGATTTTGTCATCAGGAAACCCAAGACTGTCAGCAGTGATCACATCCGATTCTTTGTTTTCACACCTTTGGCCCACAAGGTTTGTTTTAACTTCTTGCCCCTTTTTTTAACATAATTCGTCTCTGCAGAGACTGTTGTCTTTTTATGTTGTGTGAGTGCATCTGTCTTTCGGATTATAAAATTTGCTTTAATTCTAAATTATAGTTCAGGTATTAACTGGTGTTTTCCACTTGTTTTAAGAATACATGTTGTTCAAGATAAATGGATTATTTTGCATTTTTGCAGAAGCCTGGTGAATGCTTTGTTTGAATTAGATAGTTCTTGAAAAGTAACTGGGCCCTTCTGCTGATTGAACCAACACATTGTACCTCATGGAGTGACTGGGGAGTGCAGGAGGCTGATTTACCAGCACATTCCCCCTGTCACAGTCATAACACCAGCGTGTTGTTGCAATTTGGAAAACACTGCCTGAAAGGGTTGGGAATGGAAAAGGATTCGGTCATAACTTTCAAAACTGAATGAGATAAATAGTCAATGAGGAGAGCAGGGAGTGGGATGAACGGGGTAGCTCTTTCAGAGAGATAGAGTACATGCGATGGGTCAAATGGTCTTGTCAATGTTTGTATCAACCCAGGATTCTATGAAATTTCATGCTGGGCAGTTTAAGAATTTGATTTCAGGTTTTATTTTAAATCTAATCATAAAAATTCTGGGATCCGTAAAAGTGGTGATGTCGCTGTTGATTGTCAGTAAAACCCATTTGGTTCAGTAATGTCCTTTAGGGAGGGAGACTGCAATCTATACCTGGTCTGGCCTACATGTAACTCCAGGCCCTCAGTAACGTGGATAACTTTTAACTGCCCTCTGAAGGGGCCAGAGGGTACTCAGCTGTATCAAATCAAAGGACAAGAAATGAGAGTGACTAATTCTACCTTCCCAACCAATTGGTGTAACTCACCCCTTTTCTCTCACACCCCTTCCCCGCCACCTCCAAGGGGTGTAACTCACCCCTTACTGTCTCACACCCCTTCCCCCCACCCCAGTGGGGTGTAACTCACCCCTTACTGTCTCACGCCCTCACCCCACCCCTGAGGGGTGTAACTCACCGGTGGTCCGTCTGCCCCTGGTAGTCCTGGTAGACCTGGTTTGCCAGTGGGTCCCTGTGGATTGAAAGGCAGAGCTGAGTGCAAAGTGCCATGATCACTGAGGCCCTCAGCTCGGACAGGACGGGAGCTGCCTCCTGTGCCCAAGGGTTTGAATTTCCCCTGAAGAGAAACTTACTTTAGCTCCTGGAGGCCCGATTGGTCCCTGAGGCCCAGGGAGACCCTGGGAAAGAAAAGAAACCACAACAGATAAGGAATAATTAAAGAGAGACAAACATCACTGCAGAAATTCTAACAATGGCAAGTACAGTTGTATATGTTCTACAGTGCTAATTACTCAGTTAAACAGAATATAACATGCCAATTAGCCCATTTGCTCTGTATTGGTGTTTATTCCCCACACCAGCTTCCTTCCACTCTCTCATCATCATACCAACCCCACCATTGTCCTGTGGTTCTATTCCTCTCTCCCTTGTTTCATTTATCCAGCTTCCCCCTTTCACTGCATCAACATGATTCCTTTCAAACACTCCCTATAGGAGTGGGTCCCACATTCCCCCTACTCCCTATGGGAGCAAGTCCTATATTCCCCCTACACCTTGTGGGAGTGAGTCGCCCATCATCCCTAATCCCTGGGAGTGAGTCCCACATTCTCCCCCACTCCCTGTGGGAGTGAGTCTCCCATTATCCGCACTCCCAGTGGGAGTGAGTACCACATTCTCTCCACTCCCTGTGGGAAGCCTGAATTCCTGATTGGATTCAGGGCTGTTTTGTGAATGGTCCCTCATTTCATGTTTACTCAGATTTAGAACCACTCTCTTTACTAAATATAACAGTCATCCCTCGGTTTTCTTCACTCAAGAGATAGAAACCTTGGCCTGTCCTTTAGAATAAGATCAGGAGGAGGCCATTCAGCTTTTCCAGTCTGTTCCAATATTCAATAAGATCATGGCTCAGTTGTGACTTTACTCCATGTGCACACCTCTGCTCCATTGTGTAAACGCGTATCCTAATTTCACTCATTTCATGACAGGTAAAAACTCTCAGTTCTGGTATTGTTCTTGTAAATCTTCTTTCAATTTTCTCTAGCTTCCCGATATCCCTTTAATATTATAGGGACTGCTGTGTACACTATGCTCCAACTGTGCATGAACCAAACTTCTACAGTTACAGAGATGATATTGAGTTATAGAACTTCTCTATTTCTCAATCCCATTCCACTGGTCATGAGCTGTAATGTTTGTTTCCTTTTTAACAGCCTTATTAGCTTGTGTGGCTATTTTTAATGACTTGACCTAGCCCCCTCTCTGGTCCTTTTGATTCTCTGACCCATTCAACTTATGTTTTCGACTGAGTATGTAGCCTCCCCATTCTTCCCTCCAAGACCCACCACATCACATTTATTGACATTGAGCATCATTTACCAATCATTCCTCTGATCTGCAGCTTTACTTGCCCTCCTACAATTTGTTACAGTCCTGTATAGTTTTGACCATCCCCCCACACTGTATGGTCCTTAGTAGAGGGGTCCATAACCTGGTACACAGTTTTAGGGTCAGGAGCAGGAGGTTTGGAGGGGATTTGAGGAAGATTTTTTTCTCGTCGAGGGTGGTGACAATCTGAAAGTCACTGCCTGAAAAGATGGTGGATGCAGAAACCCTCATCACATTGAAGAACTATTCAGAGCGCACTTGAAATGCCACAGAATACAAGGCTACAGCAGGTGTTGGAAAATAGGATTAGAGTAGATAGGTACTCCATACTGGCATGGACACAATGGGCCAAAGGGCCTCTTTCAACATTGTAAAAGCTCTATGACCATCAAGCTGCAGAGCTGTAGCTGCAACATGCTTGCAAAAGTGCTTGTTGTCATTCTCAGAGTGAGGGGGTTGATGGGCTCAGTGAGGATCAGACAAGTTGCTGATGGTACAGGGTTTGATTCCCCAGAACAAACAGCAGGAATCAGGGATTAAAGTTTTCAAAGAGTCTGTTGCAGTAATAATGAGTGGCTGTGATCTCTCTGAGGCTGACAGAGAAAAAAGTGCAGGATGAGAAACAGAGTTCTCAGAGTTTTCACACTCCCAAAGCAGTCTGCCTGCTGGAAACAGTATCTCAGCGTGAGTCTGAGTTTACCTGAGCTCCTGGATTCCCCTGCTGTCCTGGGGGTCCGGGTTCACCTTGAGGACCCTAAAGGAAGAGGAAAGCATTGTTATCAATCCAGTGCTTCATCAAACCCTCAGAACCAATACCAATCAGTATCGGCACATAATGACATGTGAAATGGATAGAGGTGGTGGTGAGGGATTAGATATTATTCAAAGAATCCCTCACCCCCATAAACTGACTTACTCACTCCCTCATACACTCAAACACACACACACTCCCTCATACACACTCACTCACTCCCT